CGGACCGGCACCGCGCCCCCGGCTCCCGGCCCGGACCCCGGCCCCGCGCCCAGCCCGGACCCCGGCACCGCGACCCTGGCCCGGCCCGGACCCCGGCCCGGCACTATGCCCCCGGCCCCAGACAAAGAGGCCCCGGCCGAGCCTCCCGATTTTCCCGGACATGCCCGGCTTTTGGGGATTTCCCCCCGGACGGGGATTTGAGCCCCCAAAAGCCGGACATGTCCGGGAAAATCCGGACGTATGGTAACCCTACTTTATACATCATGATGAAACAAAACAAAACAAAAAACTCCCTTTGGAAGATCACACTTAATTCTCAAGACCAAGGACAACAGAAATACAAGGGCACAGAAAATCAGCAAGAGCCATGGAACTGGAGTCTTCCTAATTTACTTGTTCTGCTCTCCAGAATCTAAGGGTTTGTCTACACTTAAAAGGCTAAGCTGCTGCACCTGTGCCACTGTAGTGCTTCAGTATAGGTGTTACCTATGCCAATGGGAGGATTCTGCCATTGGTGTAGGTAACCCACCTCCTTAAGACATGGTAGCTAGGTCAACGGAAGAATTCTTCCATCAACCTAGCGCTGTCTAGACAGGGACTTAGGTCGGCTTAACTACACCACACAGGAGTGTGGATTTTTCACATCCCTGACCAATGTAGTTAAACTGGCTTAATATTTTAGTGTTCATCGGCCTAAATTGCCACTTTCAAAAGAGAAAGGTATAACACACTTCTGGCTGCAAAAACAGCTGCCACTGATGTCTTGCTGAGCATACTGTTCAGTCAGATAGGTTGAAAGAATAGCACCCAGTGAGGCATCAATGAAACCTAATTATCGCCATTTAAATGCCAACACTATTAATTACCACACTGCCAACCAAGATAAATCCAGTAAGTATTCATTGTAGCTATGTTTATTTTTATTGTTTATTCCCTGACAAACTACATTAAGATGGAGTTAAGATTGAAAGTACATATCAAAAAGGTAAGGGTAAAAAACAACATTACAGCAATGCTGTAATTATCCCCAAACTACATATTACAAATCTAGTCAATTCAGAGTTAAGGTTACACTTAACTATATATTTCCAACCATAATGGGTTTGGATTTATTTTAAGGTACTCCAGCAACTTTAACTCTGTCCTGTTGTGATGCCATGCAATAACCACATAGTTAAGATTAAGGCATTTCAGAGTTTATGGTCCCAGATTAGATGTAACTGATTTTTATAAACATTGATTTTTTCATATATTGCCCCCGCCCAATGCCATAATTGATTCATTCTGTAACCAACAACCATCATTAAGCGTCAAGGAGATACCAAATCCACATTTGGATCCTGATGGACTGGATATTTTGGGGAGACACCTGGTGGGGATTGGGGCATCTCTGGGATAGAAGAGGGTGGAGGAAAAAAGCAAGTAAATGAGCTTTGGAGGTAATGACAGAGTGACAGGAATGAGTCAGGCAGCTGCAGAAGCTAGGCAGAGGAGACTGGAGCCAGGGTCAGGCAGGAACTGGAGGAGACTAATAGCGGCATTAGTGAGAGTGTAGGAAAGCAGGCTGGACAATATGTGTGGAGGAGTTCTGTATGAATATGCCAAGTAGCCGGATTAGTGCACAAAACAAATATGAACTGAAGATTCATTGACTGTCTAATGTAGCCATGCAGCGTGTTTTAGACTGACAGCCATGAATCACAAATATTTTAGCTATTTCCCTATTCTTTTGTATTAATCACAAACATGTTTTCAAAAGTGTTGGAACATGGGCTCCTTTCATTTAACATTCCAAACAATTGTGACATTTTCAGGAAAAACAGGAAACTTTGTATGTTTTCTGCACAATTTTACTGGCTGTTTAATTTTAAGCTGTGCACACAGTAGTTTTAATAACTGCAACTAAAAGATAATACTTCTATTTTCAAGATCATAAAAATATCATTGGATTTGGGGAACACATGATCATTGTGTTCATAAATATTTTTAGTACCTCACTATACCTTAACATTGGCAATCAGGGAATATAAATCTTACTTCACTGTGATTTGGCCATGCCCAGGCTCCACCGGACAAGAGAAGAAATGTTTTGGCCCTATGAGTGCTTCAGGTGCACCTAAACGGGATAAGCAGGAGTTCAGCTGGTGCCAAACGGCAAGAATCCAGTCTATGATCTTGCACACTGGATCCCATGGAGGGGGCACTTTACCTCTGAACTATAAAGACAGAAAAGACAAAGGGTTTGACATAATTTCATACCTTTATCAGGAAGGAAAGGGGTTGGCTCTTTAGCACGTTGCCCATTGTGAAAATCAGATACATTTAAAAAACACTTAATAAACCTCAACTAAATAATCAGGAAAAGAAAGATTAAGATGACCAAATCTTCATCAAGTATCCTGAACTGCTGCATTAAATCTTATTACCTTAAACATATATTAAACACATTTTCATAGAAACAAAGAGCTCAAATAACTTTGAGAACACAGTCAAAGAAAAAAAGCTCCAATGATCTAGAACGTGCAAGTTACACACACCACACACACACACACACACACACACACACGCGCGACGAAAGAAGAAACAAAGCACAATGATATAAAGAATAAAAAGCTTATATATTCCTACAAAGAATAACCTACAGATGACTGATGCTACTGTTTAGTAACCTCACTTTGACAAGCTGCGACTTACACAGATTTCTAAAACATGCAGGTTTTTTTTAATAAATAAGAGTGATACATTTGAGAATAACATTTTTCCTAAATTAACATTTCATGATATCTGGGCATCTGGACTTAAATAACTTGCAGGTTAGTATTCCTAGTGAAAATGAAAAATCTGTGAAGGTGCAAATCCCTATGAAGCTCAGGTGCTAAGATCACATGAAAGCTGAACCATCTTGTTGGCTCTGGAGGGTTTATATTCAGAATGCAAAACATGTGCTAATTTTAAAATCACATGCAGTAAAACACTTGGTTCTCATAGGATCACAATCTCTTCCTAGTGCGAAGAAATTAAAAATAAAAAAATAAAATCGCCCTCCTCTTTGTTTAACAATATGCCCAAATAAAGATATGCATTATGATTATTTTATATTGTCCCACAATATGCATCTCACTGTGTATGGCAAAGATTCTTTGTTTTCAAATTGTAGGTAAGATTGGACTCTTGGCATTACCAAGTAATTAGAAAAATATTTTCCACCAGTTAAATTCATTTAGTCACAACATGTAACTAAAGTAGACAGATTCTTTACTATGTTATTCATAAGGCTGTAAGAAAATCACAAGCCATGATTTTGTTGCGGTCAACTGCTACTTTCAACATTCGCCACAACTTTTTAGCAATGCCACTCACTCAAATATGGCCAGACTCCCCTCCATCATAACCTGGTAGGGGCAGTGACAGTGGTGGAACAAGGAAGACGATGGAGCCTGGCCAAGCTCCCTCGGGAGCTCACCCTGCTTTCTGCCCCTGGCTCCACCAAGCGCTGCCACTTCCACTCAGCCCTGCTGGCCTCACAGTATGCCCAGATACAGTTCCAGCTCCACCAGGTGGTGTGTATTGGGCCTGCTCTGAGCAGGAGCAACTCCTGTTAGTCACTGAGGACTTTGCCTTCAGTGTCTCTCCACCCACTCCAGGGGAAGGCTTATGGAGGCCTCAGTGAGTGGGGATGGGTGGGGGCTGAGGCTTGTGCCTCCGAAAGGGCTGACACTAATGGTGTCAGCCACCCACAGGGCATCCACAGATCTCTGAGCTGGGGCTGGCTCTAAGGCGCAGGGGATTGCCCCCCCATCTCACTCTTCCTGGGGCCTGGAGGAATGGGTGGAGGTGTTATCCAAGCCCTGTTGTAGGGTGAAGGACCCTACTGCCAACTTGACATTTAGTTAGTTACAAAACACGAGTTTAGTCCTACACAATGCCCCACCTCCCATCCACCTGCACCCCAAACCACAACTTTAACAAACGGCGGCCATAACTTTTGGACCCTCCCCCCAAAAAAAAATATTTAAAAAAAATCACAACTGAGCTAGAGAAGTGTGTTTAAGGGGAGTCTTGATGGTTCAGCAGATGGTTATCTACTTTCATTTCTAGGCAGCCTCTCATTTTTAAATTGTTAGATCAAATGTAAGTTAGGTTATTAGTGACTGGAAAATACTGACAGTTAGTGGATAGTCTTAGTCCAATTTTTCCAAAGAGAGAGGTCAGTTTCACAAATACCTCTACACCAAATACAACTATGAGAACTGCCAACCTTGGAGTATGTCTAGCCAAGGAAAAATGGTCATGGAGGGAATAAGTCCCACCTTCTTTGTTTAGATAATTTAATGCTGTCACATTATCTGTCACAACCTGAAGTATTCTGTGTTCAATCTGAGGCAGAAATGACATTAGAGCTAACCTGACTGCTCTCAGTTCAAAGATACAGATATGTATTCTTTTTATTTGGTGACCACACAGTTATGACTAATAGCCCCCATCACAGTGTAGATGCATCAGAGATAAGTACTGCTGATGGTAGAGGGAGATTGAAAGGTATACTCATCATTACATTTAGAGCACATGTCCACTGTTAACATCAGTGCTGTTAACACCTGCTGTGAAGTTATCAATTTGCAATTCACATTGTTTAAGCTTGGTTTGTAATTTCTTGCTAGCCAGTGTTGCAGGTTTCACATCCAAAGACAAGCATATGGGGTCACTGAGGTGACTGATGCTAAGAGACCCAGGACCCAGAGAAAAAGGGTATTGACTTATCTTTTCCCTGCCTCATTGGTTCCATAGCTCTTGCTTTCAGAACTGCCTCATTTTGATCAACATGACTGGATCCGAAGAAGAATGTCTCTTTATTCTACCATGAGAATCTGTACCAGATGGGTCTTTCTCATGTGGACTAGCTCTTTGCAAAGAGGCTGACACCAATGAGGACTAAATGCTCATGTTTGCCTCAACAGTTGTGTCCTTTTGTAGTGGATTGGCTCTGGAAACAGAGACTAACACCACAGTAGTTTTCCTCTTTGGATCCTTCCCACTTATGGATCCTTTAATACTTGGTACCAAGGTGGAGGACTTGTTCTTCTTTCCTGCAGACTTGCCTAGAGCTGATGCTGGTCACTGAGACTTGTTTGAACCCTGTACTCACTCACTCAGTTCTGGGTGGTTTTGCTGACAGTGCTTCTTGTAATAAAATTGCTTGAAGTCTGTTTTGTCTCCTTTTATTGCTCACATTATAAATGTCGAGCAAACTGAGCATTCTGAAGTTGAGTGACCCTCAACCAAACATGCCAGGCATTTGGTACATGTGTCAGGTGCTAGAAACACTGCCAGACATGACACACAACTTTTAAAACCAGGCTTTCTAGCCTTTGGTTCCTCCATCTCAAAACCAAAGATTTACAACTAACTTAAACTAATACTATTTAACAAACTACTAATTCTAGCTATAAAATAATTAACTAGCTAAGAAGGTAGAGGGCCATAAGCTCCCTGGAGCATTTCCTGATCTGTTCAGCTGGTCATAGTTGGAAGGAACTGAGGTGGCTGGAGCACCATGTCCCTTTTGTACCCTTGCCCTGGAACGTTCAACATTCACTGATGGGAGAGGCGAGGGAGGTATGTAACCGTTCCAATAGCTGCTGCTAACTAGGGTTCTACTGTTCAGCTGCACTGGTTGGAGTATCTCATGAATGGGAATATGCATAGGACACTTAAAGAAGAAACACAAAATATTTCAATTAGAATATCATGCTGTGGTGCCTCATGGGAGTTGTAGTTTGGTTTCCCTATGTCCCCATTCTCTTTGATGGGCTGGCACCCCTGCTAGACTACATCTCCCATGATATACCATAGCCAGAGACTGAGGATGCATATAGTTTCCTCAGCATGAGGAGAGATCACAGAGCATCATGAGAGATGTAGTCCAACCAAGGAGCTCAATCTCTAGAAGAAATTGGGAGCAATGAAGTATCATGGCAGCATTTCCAAATTGAAAATTTTTTTTTTGCTAAAACATTTTATTCTTCAATTTCTCATTGAAAAGTCAAAATTGTTCCCCTTATCTACCTTATATCTACCTTAAGTTTTTAAACTTAAGGTAGATTGATCAATTAATTCTCACAACTTGCCCTTAGTCATTCCTAGAAGGCAACCGCAGTGTGTTAGTCAATCTGAAGACTAACTGAAATCAATTTTGTTTTCCATACAAATAGTTTAACATATTTATGTACAAATAGAAACAGAAGTTGGGAACAACAATGCAGAAAAAACCATCTTTAAAAAGTTATGTTATTTTATCATATTATTATTTAGGAGGACTCAAAAGTGACAGTTCCACAAAGTGACATACTATAAATATATTTATATTTATGACAGTTTGCTACTATTAAAATTTTAATTTAATTCTGTTGCTTTGTTTCCCAATGTACTGCAACTATTCTTTTTTGCAGTGTATTTACCCTGAAGATCCATTTTGTTCATGCTCTAGGGATACTTTTATTGAAAATCAAGAGCATTTCATGCAGAAAGGATGGCAATAGAGCATGGAATCCTAAAGACCCAAAATAGATATTTCAACCAAGACATACTTTTTGTTTTGAGGCAGTAGATAAAAAGGAATTATTTTTGCGAGAAAGAATCTTTTCTTCTAAATCTAACTACTAGATAACTCTGTGATCCAAAACTATATTTGCAGCAAACATTTGCAAATTCCTGTAAAGATATTGGGTGAAATGCTGCCCCATTGAAGATAGTGACAAAACTCACATTGATTTGAACTGATCTGTACCAGATGCTTGATTTGAACTCATTTTCTAAAACAGAATATTAGAAAAAATTCAGATTGTCAAAAACAGAAAAGCATATTACCAATTTGTTTTCATTAACAGTTATGCACACTGTCATACAGCATTAATTTATGATTCTATACTTTTAAAGCTAGGGACAAGTAACAATGGCCTGAATCTCACAAACTGCATTCTTCACACAAAATGAGTAGTGCACACCCAACTCTCATATGCACCATCCGTGCACTAAAGATCACTGCTATGTCAGGAGCTAAGCTGCCAAGGAGATGACCAGTGACCAGATCCCCTGATGACCAGTGGCATCAGAAGTCAGAAGCAGATGGGGAGCCTTTTAGAAGTAGATGCTGTCAGGTTACTGGTAGTCACAGGCCACCTAAACTCTTCAGGTTTTGTTGCTTGCTGAAAAACGGATTAGAACCCTTGGTGATATTGTTGAGGCTAAGAGTTCTGTGCTGAGTAGTACTGAGCTCCCTTGAAGCCAACCATTAAGGTGAAAGTTGTCTAAGAAAGGCCCTTCCCTTCTCCAAAGGAGGGACTAAAGGAGCAAGACACAGAACCAAAGGAATGCAGTATGGCCTCTCTCTCCTTCACTCTCTGTACTATGGCCTCCTCCTCCTCCCAAACAAGTTATCTCCAGTGTAAGACCAGTCCTAGAGATTTCTCCAGGTATAATCTGGAAACCTGCAGCCAAGCCAACTAACAGGTATCCAATCCTAAAGGTTGTTTTATGAAAGAGGATTTAACACTAACTACTATGTGGTTTAGGAACCTACGTCCCATTTTCAAAATTGATTGAGACACTTTGGGCCAGACTTTTAAAGGTATTCAGGCACCTAAAGATGCAGACAGGTGCCTTTAAAAATCTGGCCTTTAGGAGCTTAAGTCACTCTTGAAAATAGGATTTAAGAGCCTTTTACCTTTTACTCCTTGTCTTTACTCTCTGTGTAAATATAATCTTCATCATCAATGGCAGATACTACTAAAATACACTACTAAATTTTAATCCACAGACCAAAAAAAAAATCACAGAAATTCACTTATTAAAATAAATTTGAAGAGTTCCATTGCACTGTAAAAATAAACAACAATTCACACAGAAAAAAGTATTTGAAAGGAATTAGCCTTTTAAAATAAGATATTTGAGGAAATTCACAATGGGTAGTGAAACTATTTAAGGCTTCTCTGTCAATTTTAAGCACAAGTGGATTTAGCAAGTAGGGCATCCCACATGCACCACTTTTAGCATCAGAATGATTTGTCTAATTTAAAAAGTTATATAAGTATGGTCTGTCTGTCTAGGAACTTATCTTATCCTCATCACCACAACATCTCAGAACCTCAAAATCATTAATAAATTTTATCTTCAAAACACCTCTCTGAGGGAGGGAGGTATTATTCCCATTCAACAGATAAAGGGAAATCAGGCACAGGGGTAAGACTGGTGATTTAACCAAGATCATTCAGGAAGCCTGTAGCTGAACCAGGAATTGAACAATAGGTCCTCTGAATTCCCTACCAGTTAGGTCATCTTTTCAACTCCTTTGGCAACCTGTTCTTCTTCAAGCTATCCAAGATACTGCTGCCAAGATTATCTTCCTTTGCAGATATTCTGACCAAGCTCCCATCCAATCCCCCCATATTTCTCAACTCTGCAATGGCTGCCAACTTATTAGTATTATCGGTTACCAAATAGCTTTCAAAGAATTCCACAACTCTGCTCCTGCCTATCTTTGCCCTTATTCCCACCTGCTTCTTAATACTCAATTTTTTCTCCTCTTCTTGTCTCCTTTTCCTACTCGTGTACATCTTACTGCATACTGCCTTTCAGCTCAGAACAAACTTCCAATTTATAGAATCATAGATTCTTAGGACTCGAAAATGACCTCAAGAGGTCATTGAGTCCAGTCCCCTGCACTCATGGCAGGACTAAGTATTATCTAGACCACCGGTTCTCAAACTTTAGCAACTTGAGGACCCCCATTTTGATTTAAAATTTTGGGGGAATTCCCAAGCCCCCCCTGCTCAGCCCCCACCCCCCCAAGGGCCTCACCCCTGCCCCACCTCTTCCTGCCCCCCCGCTCACACCATCCCCCCTGCCTTCCATCGCTCGCTTTCCCCCACCCTCACTCACTTTCACCAGGCTGCGGCAGGGGGTTGGGGTGCAGAAGGGAATGTGGGGTGCAGGCTCTGGGAGGGAGTTTGGGTACAGGAGGGGGCTGGGGTAGGGGGTTGGGGTGCAGAAGGGAGTGCAAGGTGCAGGGTTGGAGGTTGGTGGGCAGGAGGGGGTGGGGGTGTGGGCTCCGGCTGGGAGGTGCTTACCTCAGGCGGCCACAGTTCCCAGCCAATGGGAGCTGTGGAGTGGGCGCTCAGGGCGGGGGCAGCGTGCAGAAATCCCCTGCGCCCCTGACGTGCTGGCTGCTTCTGGGAGTGGTGCAGAGCTAGGGCAGGTAGGGAGCCCTGCCTTAGCCCCGCTGCACCGCTAGACTTTTAGCACCTAAAATCTCCCTGTTTGTCTTCAGTAGCCTCCGGGAGATAGAGAGAGGGGGAGTAGTTGAGGGAGGGGAAGGACTTGATCAGTGGGACCCGCGGACCCCCAGGAGTGTGCGGACCCCAGTTTGAGAAATGCTGATCTTGACCATCTCTGGCAGGTTTTTGTCTAACCTGCTCTTAAAAATCTCCAATGATGAAGATGTCACAACCTCCCTAGGAAATTTATTCCAGTGTTTAACAACCCTGACAGTTAGGAAGTTTTTCCTAATGTCCAATCTAAACAGCTCTTGTTGCAATTTAAGCCCTTGCTTCTTGTCCTATCCTCACAGGTTAAGGAGAACAATTATTCTCCATCCTCCTTGTAACCTTTTATGTACTTGAAAACCGTTATGTCCCCTCTCAGTCTTCTTTTCTCCAGACTATCCCATTTTTTTTCTACCTTCCCTCATAAGTCAGGATTTCTAGACCTTTAATAATTTGTTTCAGAGTAGCAGCCATGTTAGTCTGTATCCGCAAAAAGAACAGGAATACTTGTGGCACCTTAGAGACTAACACAAATTTATTAGAGCATAAGCTTTCGGCATCCGAAGAAGTGGGCTGTAGCCCACGAAAGCTTATGCTCTAATAAATTTGTTAGTCTCTAAGGTGCCAAAAGTACTCCTGTTCTTTTTAATAATTTGTGTTGCTCTTCTCTGGACTCTCGAATTTGTCCACATCTTTCCTGAAATGTAGCACCAAGACACAATCCTCCAGTTGAGGCCTAATTAGCATGGAGTAGAGCGAAAGAATTACTTCTTGTGTCTTGCTTACAACATTCCTGACAATACACCTCAGAATAAAGTTAACTTTTTTTGCAATGTATGCTAAGCCCTCCCTTTTCTCCAAATTGCTTCTGAAAATCCTTTTGTTCTGTTAAGCCTAGCAGAGATACACAGGACACTTAACTGTATCACACCCACTTACATCTTTAGAGTGTAGACTCTTTGGGACAAGGCTTTTATTTTTGCTTCATATTCTATTGCCATGTACAGTTACAGGATTATAAACACCTTCAAAGAGACCTTTTTCATGTAGATATTTGCAAACAGACAGTAACTATCCTTACTACTATCTGTGGCAGACCTGTGTCTTTATGCCAATCAAGTGAGCTCATGCAAATTAACTAACAAAGTATATTATAGACATGGTACATTTATCCTTCAAACTGATTTTGTTTGCTTTTAATGTTCTGTAACATTGTTATTTTAGTGTAGTTTTTGGTGTGGAATAGTTATGATATTGTATGCTCACAAGTTTTTTAAACTAAAGGATCACTTTTTCTGAACAGGTTTCAGAGTGGTAGCCGTGTTAGTCTGCATCATCAAAAAGAACGAGGAGTACTTGTGGCATCTTCGAGACTAACACATTTATTTGAGCATAAGCTTTTGTGGGCTAAAACCCACTTTATCAGATGCATGCAGTGGAAAATACGGTAGGAAGATAGATACACACACACACACAGACAGAACATGAAAAAATGGGTGTTGCCATACCAACCCTAATGAGACTATGGCTATTCTTTCGGGAATAGCACTGCACACTTTTTTCTGAAAAAAATACTGAAGCCAATTTTAGTGTTTCTTACCTTATTTATAACTTTCCTTCTTAAAAACCTTTGAAGCAAGCCATGGATTGGTTCCCCATCCCACCTTAGTTGAACCCAGCGGAAATGTTGCTGAACCAACAAGTCAGAGCCTTGGAGACGAGACTTTGCAATTGTCCCCATTAGAAAGCAGTTCTCATGAAAGTAATATGCATCAGGCACACCATTTGCTAAAAATGAACCAAAAGACATCTTATTGCAATAATCAAAGCTTTCCTACAATCTACATAAGTGACTGTTAAAAGCAAGCAGCATTATATTTGGTTTCTAATAAATGCAATTAAATTACAAATAAAAACTAACTAACATTTCTCACATGCAGTTGAGAACAGATAGTTTGAAATTATATATAAAACCAACAAAACTATAGAATCTTAATCCTCTAAATAAACTCTCCACACATTATCTATTATATTAAAACTATATCATTATAATAAAATATTTCTCTACCCAACTTTGTTTTTAATACCTTTTTGAAAAGTGCAAGGATTTTCAGAACCACGATTCTCAAGAGGTGTCAGAAAGTCTCCCAGTAAATCAAATAATGAAGCTTTTTCCAGATTCTCTAAAATCACAATGGTTTTCTTGCTCACAGAAAGCTGTTTCACTGGGACCAGACAAGCTGTAACAAAAAGAACCCATTAATATATGCTTGTGCAAATCTCTTTTTAATTTACAAATATTACATTTAGCATTAACATGCTGCTTGAGAAACTTTTTTTTATTTTTGCCTTTTAAAATTATGGGAAAAATAGTGCAAATTGAATGGATTATGCAACATTTAGTGTTCAAAAACAAAAGGGAAATACCAAACAGCAGGGGAAAAAATCATACTCCATAGTAAGAAAAGAATGTTTTTTGAAGGGATTATCTAAAGAAAGCAACGACGAAGTGGGCATTCACCCACGAAAGCTTATGCTCCAATACATCTGTTAGTCTTAAAAGTGCCACAGGACTCTGTTGCTTTTTACAGATCCAGACTAACACGGCTATCCCTCTGATACTATCTAAGGAAATAATCCTGGACACCATTTCATCTTCACATTTACTACAAACTTCAGTACCCTAATAGAATGATCCCTGCTTCAGAGGTAGAGAAGAAAAGATGGCGAGCCAAGATCTTTGGGAATGTGCTTGTTCCTACTCATTCTGGCACACTGTAAAGCCTACACCAGTATACAAGGCAGTGATGTAATGGTCATTCCAGATTCATGAGACACTCTTTTCCCCCCCATACTCTTAGCTTGCCTTCCCTGAACTGATTCATGGGGACACTATCCTCTCCGCATTCTAATTCCTCCTCAAGACCCACCTCTTATGTGTTGCCTTTGGGAAACGAGCCAATTCATGATAGCTAGGTTGAGGCATAGTTGGGGATAGTTGCCTCTTTATCTATAATGTCCAAAAAATTGCAAATGTATATAAAAATTGTATACATGTGATTATATTCAACCCTCCATCTTGCCTAATCTTGGTTTGCCATTTGTTTTCTTAGACCATAAATTCTTCGGGGTAGAGATGTGTATATATACACAGGTACCTAGCAGAATGGTACCATACTCTGATTGAGGAATCTGTGTGCCACTGCAATATAAATATAAAACAATAAAACAACAAATTGTCTAAGACTGAATTTCAGCTGCTATTGTGCTACCTATTGACCTAACTTTGTTAGGCCATTTTGAGGTTTCTCACAATCTTTAGTCTTGTCTAACCTAAATAATTTTGTCAAGCACAATTTTGCTACTTCATGGTTTGTTCTTTTTCTTCTTTTCACATCATTAGTAAATTTAGTAAATTAGTAAAGTCAAATCAGTCCTAGTACAGGTCCTTGGAACTTTCTACTATTAAGCTATTTCCATGTCAAAAATTAACCATTTATCCCTTAACTTTGTACTTCATCTCTTAAACAGCTGCTAATGCATGACACTAGGGCTCCTAGGGCTCTAAAGGCATATCTGTTCTTTACAGGCCCCTATTACATGCCACATGGCTAGTCTTTTGGCTATGAATTTTTAACTATCTTCCACTTTCCTAACCTGCCTTTACTAAAGTTGGGATGATCCTTCCTGTGAGCTAAGTTCCCTCTAAGCTGTGCAGCTGAACAGCTACCTATTTGGTGCCACGCAGGTGCTCAGGGCTCGGGCGGGGAAAGGTGCCTCTCCCCAAGCCCTAGACCTGCCATGGTGCCCCCTCCCTCTTCCCTGGTTCTGACCCAGCCCAGCCCCAGACCTGCTGCAGCTGGGAGACAGGCACCTCTCCCCCGCAGCCCAAGTGCTGCTGCAGGGAGAGAGCTGGAGGGGAGCCCTCTCTCCCCGCAGTAGCCCCGGGGAGGCCCACTGCACCCAAACCCCTCATCCCCAGCCCCACTCTAGAGCCCCCACCCCCAGCTGGAGCTCTCACCCCCTGCACCTTAACCCTCTGCCCCAGCCCTGAGCCCCTCATCCCCGTCCCCACCCCAGAGCCTGCATCCCCTG